GCCTTATAGATGGAGGACGAAGCCACCTAACATTCAGAGGAAGACATTCAGAGACAAATGAATGCGGTCACCTTACTTAGCTCAGTGACCTGTGACATCACCTGACAGTCTTCTCCGGTGCACTGGTTTGACCTCTAGGAGCTGATGAATCCTCCTGCCCCCCCGCCCCCACCAACTGTGTGGAGCATAGCTTTAGATTGGAAACCAGCCTAAGAACTCACAGACAAAACGGACAGGCATGGGGCTTCTGCATGGGAATGAGCCCTCCAATCCCAACAAGAATCTGTACAGGCCCCAAAGGCTGATCTGCGAAGGAAATTGCTTTCACTGGTTCAGCTGTTTTTGTTTCTGTTTTTTGAGTTACTGCAGAGGATCCTGGGTCAAATTTCCGTTGCTATGGGGATGGGAATATAAATGTGCAGCGTGTTCCGTTGCCACAGTGATCAGAGGCATCTTCTCCACCTCCTGCAGCTGCTCTGTCATGTATTAGTCAGGGGAGAAGAAGGACTCAGGCCTCAGGTGCTCACAGAAGGAAGAGAAAATCACTTTTGTGGAAGGATTAGGGAAATGGGCAAATTCCACTTTTGAGTTGACCTGGGGAGACTTTTAGAGCTGACCTGGGGAGACTCGTGCTAACAGCAAGCAACATGGATGACTTAGTTCCAGGATGGCTTTGTTAGTTGATTGCATGGTGCAGTTCCGTGATTAAATTAGTCACACCAATGTCATCATTGCCAGTGTCTCCAGGGAACTGGTTCTAGGGGAGGAGGTTCTGGTCAGCGGCTGCTTGACTCTGTTAGAAATGTGTAGGATGGGGACACTCAAGTCTTGATTGCTCCAGAAGGTGTGAGAAACACACAGGACAGCAAAAGAGAGTTTGTGTTCATTTGCCTTTTGGATTTTGGGCAACAATTAGTGGTGCTTAGGACTCACTCCTAGCTCTGTGCTCAGGGATCACCCTGGCAGGGGACAGGGGACCCTATGTGGTGCTGGAGAACAAACCCAGACTTATTGCATGCAAGGCACGTGCCCGACCCACTGTACTATTGCTCCAACCCCAAGAGAGGGTTGTTTGTTTGGGGGGGAAGAATTTGGTAGATACCCTAAGGGAGACAAAGCATGGGCAAACTCCAAGAATAGCTAACTCAGGGGACAGGATCTGGAGCCTCAAAGAGTTCTCCAAGTATGGGGGTTCTCGTGAGAAAGGAGGAGTTTTCCAATGGAAGCTGGAGCTGGTGAAGAGTTCTCAACCGTGGAGCCATCCCCATCCCATTTTGCACCATGTATGGGCTGGAGCGATAGCACAGCGGGTAGGGCGTTCGCCTTACAAGCGGCCAACATGGCCAACCCGAGTTCGATTCCTCCACCCCTCTCGGAGAGCCCGGCAAGCTACGGAGAGTATTCGATATGCCAAACACAGTAACAACAAAAGTCTCCAATGGAGACGTTACTGGGCCCGCTCGAGCAAATCGACGATCAACGGGAGGGCCTTTACCTTTACCTTTATGGTATTTTGGGAAGTGTCACGCCACCAGATATGCAATGGAGGATTATGTGGTAATTGCATGACAATCATCAGTCATTTTATAGTGGACCAAAGAGGTCAGGCAAGCTTCTGGCAAATTCTCTGGCATCTTTAGTCCCTTGATCCCAACCTCATCCTCATCTCATCTGTGGTGAGAACATTGTTAGAGATATGGCCAGGACTCAGTTGGAAGTTACCAAACCCTTCCGGCCTGCCTCAGTTTACCTCCTACACATAGAGAGAGCTGAAAGTTCATGACAGCCTATGTTGCCAGATCTCCCCAGGCAGGTCATGATGGCTGAGCTTGGAACTCTCCCTGCTGTAGCCTCCAAGGGCCGATGATGTCAGCTTGCCCCATCTCTCAGGCTTGGGTGTAAGGTGTCCCCAACAGTCTTGTCATTCCTTCATGGCAGGGACGGGAGCTCGAGGTGGGGCTTCTGTTCCATCTGTCTCTGACCCCTCAGAAACAAGAACACGGCTTCTTGGGTTGCTTCACCAGGTGCAAGCTGGGGTCGTGAAGAGTCACACTGAGGCGTGTTGTACAAAGTTCATTAACTCCACTGGGAAGAAGGCAAGAGCTTGCCCTGTTTGAATAACCATCCAGCTGTGACCGGGGTCTCCAGCTGCATTAGGGACCCATAGCTGCGTCCCGCCCGGCTGATGGACGAAGGAACAGGTTCACAGATTGGTAACCAGTGGTGACTTTATTCAAACCAATTAAGATTATTCTATAGAAATCATGAAAGGTTGGGGGATAGGAATAGGTGTGCTTGAACATTCACATGAACAGCTAAAAGCGCAGTTTTCAGGGGATATTCTTCTAGAAGACTGCCCAGGGTGGCACTCCATCTAGGAACATACTGCTTTCCCCTTTCCTTCACTGGTGATCCATTTAAACAACCATATTAAATTTGCTTCTTAATAATATCCCTAGTCATTTTATAAAAACAAAGTAAGAGTAAGAGACTTATCTATACATTAGATTAAGCTTAAAACGGTCTCTCTAGACTCGTGGTAGAGAGTAGTTTTTCCTGGGGACGTCAGGTCAGATTAGTTTTTCCTAACCACAATAGGGTCCTTTGCAGTTGCTTCTTTTTGGGTCATGAGAAAGCTTGTTCCATGATTGTGCTCTTAACCTATTATACTTCATAGGGCCCTTAGGCTGTTTATTAATTGTCCCAGATCCATCCAAGTCTCTCCGTGGACTCACCTTTTGGGGTGTAAGAAACTAAATTCAATCTAAGGGCAAGTGAAGCTTAAGTTAAGTAAATAAGATAGATGCCCAGGAGTAAATATTTCTCAATCAATTAACTCCCATATTAGAAAACTTAGCCTTGTATTCTTGTGTCTCTACAGAAAGAACATAGCCCTAAAATAAAAATATGAAAAGGGAATAAGGAAAGAAGGAAGCAAATATTTCACTTGCACATACAAAATTCAGAGCCATCAGGTTTGACTTTACAAGTCATGCCTAATCTGGAGATATTTGTGACTACCAGGAGAAGAACACAAAGGTGAGATTAAAGATAAACATGGAGGATTGGGAGAGCCCAGGTGGAACCGGGTGTGTCCCGAGGATCACTGTAGTGGGTATAGCTCAGTTAACATAACAGGAGGAGAAAGGATAACCCAAGGTTGAGCTTGAGATGCTCTGAACTATCGTCCAACACTGTCCCCATGGTGTAAAACGTGGGGGTGACGTCAAATATTCCCCGCCTACTGCGTGACTTCTACAGTGGAGCAGCTCTTCCCTCCTAACTGTTGGTTAATTCCTAAACCGGGGATGCTGTGATTTAACTGTTTACACGTGAAAAACAAAAACAAAAACAAAAACAAAAACAAGCTGCTTCCTACATTTCATTTTCCCTGAGGGCAAGTTCTTGCTTCAAACAACTTTATGTTTTTGTTTTTGGGCCACACCAGCTATGCTTAGAGATTACTCCTGTTTTTGTTTTTGTTTTTGTTTTCTCTCTTTGGGTCATACCAGAGAGGCCCAGGGGTTACTCCTGGCTCTGCACTCGGGAATTACACCTGACAATGCTCAGAAGACCATAAGGGATGCTGGGGATCAAACCTGGGTTGGCTGCGTGCAAAGCAAATGCCCTCACAAACGCCCTCCCCACTGTACTATGGTTTGTCCCTCAGAGATTACTCCTGGATTGGCACTCTGGGATCACTTTTGGAGGGCTCAGGGGACCATAAGGGATACCAGAGATTGAACCCATTGTCCTCATGCAAGGCATGCGCCCTATCCAGAGTACCGACGCTCTGGCCCCTCAAACAACTTTTAAGAGCAGCAAACCTTACTAGCCACCAGCATAATGTCCTCCAGAATGGTTTCTCAAACAGTCCTGAAAATCCCGTGCTTGGCCTAATCAGAAATCCTTCCTCCTCCCTAACTTCCTTGCTAACTGTGGATCCTTATACTTTCTCCAGGACCCCAGATGACAGGAATCACAAGGTCCTTGGCCTTTATACACTGAGAGAGACTTCTTTCACTTAGACGTGTACGTGTTTCTCTTTATCATTCAGCTACTAAAAATGGATTTCCTTTTAGACCCATGAAATATTCCAGTGTCTGGATCAGCTACCATTTGTCTAGCTCATCAGCTGCTTCAGCAAGAGCTTGTGGCTTCCAAGTTTTGACGATTGTGGGGGGACCTGCTCTAAACACTGGCGTGCAGGTTTGTATATGGATGTAAGGTTCCATTCATGAGGGTAAACACCGAGGAATACGCTCTCTAGACCAACCAGGAGTTTGCCATTGGCTTTTATTGAAATAGAACCCACAGTGTTTCTCTGTCTTTGTTCTTCTGAGGACTTGGGGAGGTTGATTCCAGAGACAGAACTCAGGACCTCATCCAGCAGGCACATGCGGCACATGCTCTACCACAGAGTGCCCCCAGTACCTACTTTGCTTTTCACAATTATGTCTGGGCCGTCTTCCTGTCTGCCAGTAGCACTAGTCTTGCCTTTTCATGGCTGCATGGTACTCCACACGTGCACTCATTATGGGCTCGTGACTGTTCTACATTCACAAACCTCCAGATTGTTTTCAGCTTTTGTCTATTGTACACAGAACTGCCTTAGACTTCTCATACCTCACTTCCTTTCAAAAAGATACTGTGCAGATGGAGTTAGAGCAGAGGTCTCTTGTGGGGTGACCTCTGCCTGGCCCCAGGAACTCTTGGCAAAGTCTCACAGCATTATTGCTGATCACAGTCTCCGGGCTTGGGGAGGCATCACTGGCTTCTCGTGGGTCGCCATGGGGATGCTGCTCATTCCCCCAGGGCACCAATGGCTCACCAACCCCCTCCCAGGGAACCTTTGAGGCCTGGGAAGAAGTGGGGGGAAGGCCCGGGTGTTGTGGTGCTGACCTCGAGTTTATGTCCAGGAGGACTTGGGAGCCGCCGAGGGCTGGGCAGCGGCCTTGTTTCCGGTGGGAGAGAGCGTGGGATGGGGCAGGGGCGACCCCTTAGGTGACTTCCTCTGAGGTCCTGTGTCCTAGCACCCGCAACAGCGCCCCCTGCATGTCACGGTTGCGCAGAGTGTAGATGGCAGGGTAGAGCAGTGGTGTGAGGTTGATGTAGATGAGGGACACCAGCTTGTCCTCCTCCAGGTCCCGGCTGCTCAGGGGCCGGGAGTACATGGCCGTGGCACAGCCGTAGTGCAGTACGGCCACTGTGAGGTGCGATGCCACTGTGTTGAAGGCCTTGCGGCGGCCGGCCCCCCCCACCCCCATGATGACCAGCAGCACCCGCGTGTAGGAGAGGAGGATGAGGGCCAGCGGCAGCACCAGCAGCAGCAGGCAGGCGGCCAACAGCACATGCTCCTGCAGTGCCCGGTCCCCGCACGCCAGCAGCAGCACTGCCGGGAGGTCGCAGAACACGTGGTTGACCAGCCCCCCATGGCAGAAGGGCAGCTGGAAGATGACCGTGGTCAGGCCCACGGCCAGGACCGAGCCTCCCATACAGCAGGCCGCCAGCAAACGCCAGCAGAGCCCCGTGGTCATAATCTGGGGGTAGTAGAGGGGGCGGCAGATGGCCAGGTAGCGGTCAAGCGCCATAGCCGCTAGCAGCAGGCACTCAGAACCTCCCAGGGCCACAAAGAGGCCCATCTGGGCTGCGCAGGTGGTGGGGGCCACGGCCTGGCCCCCGGGAGGCAGGAGAAAGCCGGCCAGCATGCGCGGGGTCAGCACCAGAGTATAGGCCACCTCCACAGTGGACAGAGCCCCCAGGAAGAAGTACATGGGCGTGTGCAGCGCCGGGTCAGCCAGTGCCAGCCACAGGATGAGCAGGTTTCCTGCCAGCGTTGCCAGGTACAGGGGCAGAAGGAGCGCGAAGAGCAGCACCCGCAGCTCGGGGGGCCAGTCCGAGAAGCCCAGGATAATGAACTCCAGCGGGGCTGTCCAGTTCGGATCATGCCAGAGGCTCATATTGGGACCTGTGTCGTGACGGGGATCGAGAGGGGAGTCACTGTCTCGCACCCTGCTGGCACCCCACACACCCCCTCCCATGCCCACCCACCCTGGGCCCAGGGTCCTCCCCCAGCTCAGCATCCCGGTGCCTGAGATCCCAGTTCACACGGCGCTGTGCCCATATCCAGGGGCCCTGGGTCTGCCCCTGCCCCCCTTTTAGAGCTCACGTACCCCCAGAGCTGGCCATCCTGTGCTCTCCCAGAAGGAACAAGAAGTGCAAAAGGAAGATGGACTTCGATAGACTTCAGACACTCCTACACAGCGACACAGGGGACAGTAAGGCGCCCAACATCACCGCCAGACCATCTGCAGCCTCTCTCCTCCCCCACCAGTGACTGCCAGCGGGTCCCTGCTTGGAGCCTCCAGAGCCTGTCATGCTCAGGGGAGTAAGGTGATGGGTTCAGAACCCGAACTGGGACCACCCTGTGCCCACGCCTCACCGCTGGACTTGCTCCTGCCCTGTCCCAGGTTCCGGTCCTATTTCCAAGTTCCCCTTCGCTGGACCCAGGGCCAAGTCCAGGATCCTCCTGGCCTGTCCTCCCCTTCTGACCTCTGTGGGGAGTAGAGGTGAGTGGAAGTCCCCATGACACCCTACATCACGATGAACATGGATGAACCCCTCCTATCTCCTCTCTTCCCTCCTCTTGGCCATAGACCTGGAATGTGTCTGTCCCCGCCACCCCTTCAGCTCAGCCCGTGCTGTCACATGCGTGGTTTCCCACCCTCTGCCCCTGGGCACACCGGGATGTCATTGTCCATTTTCTGGCCTGTGCCCACACCACCACCCCCCTCCCACCACAGCCAATTCCTGGCCTGCCCGATACTCTCAGACTCCAGAACTCTGCCCCTCCCAGGGAGCACAGCATAGAAGGGTGCTCCTGCTCTGGGGGCTCCCCACAGTCAGCGTGGAACAGGCTAAGCCCCCTCTACACCCTCCGAAGTGCCCCCAGGCATCCTGCCCCTCAGGCACCTCACCAGGCCCTGCCCCACCCAGCAGACACAAGAACTCACCTCTCCAGCGGGTACAGCCTGGTGTCCCCTGGAGCCTGCCAAGACTGTCTGTCTCCCCAGCTGGCAGCTGTGGGCCACGTCCCGGGTGTCGGCCACTGTGGGGGGCTGTTCTGTAACCCGGGAAGACAGTAACCTTGTTCACGAAGTCATTGGAGGGGAAGGGATCAGGGAATCCATCTTCTTCCCCCAGCCCCACCTATCAGAATCCCACCTCTTGTCACCACACCCATGGCTGCCACCCCGCACCCGCGGCTGCTCCCCAGAGTAGCCTCAGGCGGAGTCCTTGCCACCAGCTGTTTGGAGGGACAGAGCCCCTGGCTACAGGCTGGCCTTCTTTGCTCTGCTTTCCCTACCCGTCCCACTGCCCTGTTCAGTGATGAATGATGTCTGTAGGATAACATTGGTTTGTCCTTTCTTCCTTGCCACAGGGAGCTTAGGTTTATTGGGTTACACCCATCACAGTGCTCCTGAGTCATTCCCATTCCTTTGCTTATCTGTAAACTGTACCAAATATGCCAAATACCAGTAACAATGATGGGTCTCATTCTCCTAAAGAGCCTTGAATATAATCTCAGGGCTAGGATGAAAGAGACGTTACTGGGGCCTGCTCGAGGCAATCGACGAATAACAGGATGATGAAATGAAAAATGAAAAAATCTGTAAACTCATCTCTGTGCTCTCTTCCCCAACCGATCTATCATCTTTTCCTCTAATCAGACTCTGTTAACTTGTAAGGTGTCAGATCCTTCTAAGGACACTTGACTTGTATTCATGTATTGCCTTTTTCCTTTCCTTATGTCTTTTGCATAGTTTACTTTAAAGCAATGTCCCTTTTGTGTAGCCACAGGAAGACGGTAAATATTATGCTTTTGTAACTTGGGAGTTAATTGATTCTGAATAATATTCACTCCCGGGCATCTGTTTTCTTGACTTAAGCCTCAGTTGCCCTTAGTTTCTAGCACCCCAAAGCAGGGCCCTGATGAGGGACTGAATGGACCCAGGGCTGTGAGCTACCCTGGCATCAAAATGTGCCAGGTCAAAGTGCCACAATACTCAACTTTAAGTTAAGAGCATGGTCGTGGGCAAATGCTGTCATGATCCAAAAGTAACGATGAGATTAGGACCCTGCTAGGGATAGGAAAGACTAATCTGGCCTGAGCACTATAGTCTGAGATTGAGATGACCCCAAGAGAGCAATTCTATAAGCTTAATGTATCTCTTACTGTGTCCATAAAAAATGACTAATATTATGCTTGTTTTTATGTTTGTCTGACTTTGCGCTTCTGAGGTCTGGCTGCCCTCGGCCCCTTGGACGGACCCAGAGGCCACGTATCTGCCCTTCTGCACCTGGCTTGGTCCCTGGGGCGCTCCCAGGTCAGCAGGTGGGCTTCTCTCCCTTTCAGCCAAGTAGGGGGCAGGACCCTGAGGTCAGTGTGAACCAGTGTGAGGCCAGTGTGAATCATAGCTTCTTTCTGGGGTCAGATCATCATCCTGGTCTGGGGGCTCCATCGGGCATCAGGCTCAGGGTTCGGCTGGCTTTCCTGCCCCCCTCCTGTCATTCCGCCTGATCAGGACCCTGCTCTTCTCGCTGGAGCCAAGATGCCCCCTCCCTTGCCTTAGGAGGACAGAGCAGGGATGTCCCGGAGGCTAGCCGAGGACACGGGGGAGTGCATCCTGTCCCTGCCCCCTCCCACACAGTGGTCAGGTCTGTTTTCTGCTTTGGGAAAATCATGCAGAATGACAGTAGGCAACAAATCATAGAGGGAAATATATATATATATATATATATATATATATATATATCTCAGAGAGCTTGGCAAACTACACAGAGTATCCCGCCCACACAACAGAGCCTGGCAAGCTCCTCGTGGCATATTCCATATGCCAAAAACAGTAACAATAAAGGGTCTCATTCCCCTGACCCTGAAAGAGCCTCCAATATGGCAGCATTGGGAAAGACGAGTAAGGAGAGGCTGCTAAAACTTCAGAGCTGGGACAAATGGAGACATTACTGGTGCCTGCTCAAGCAAATCGATGAACAACGGGATAATAGTGATACAGTGATATGTTTGTTGGACAAGGAGAGAAAAAACACGTCCATGGGATTCTGCTCTTGGGTGGGTCGTCTTACTAAATGAGAATCTGTCCTAGAAGAAGCTTCCTCTGAGGGAAGACTTTACCCCTATTGATTGAGACCACACCTATGTGTAAGCCCCAATCCCTAATGCTTTGGGATTTAATTAAGACTGTAAGAGTGGGCTGGGGAGGCCAGAAGGAGATTGGAGTGGGATCAAGAAGGAGAATGAAGTAGCATGAGGGAGGAAGAAGCAGGAGGAGAATCAGAGGAGAATGGAGATGGGAATGGAATAAACTGCAACTGACACCAACCAGCCTAACCTTCGTTCCTTCCTTCACCTGCCCATCGCCATCAACCTCCCCGGGGTGGGGGAAGCGGAGTGAGACCATAGAACACGGGCAGCGAGATAGAGTGCCGCTGCCTTTTAGTATATACACAGATGTCCACTGTCACTTGGCCTTCCTCACTGCCCAGCCAGGGGTCACTCACCTCATGGGGACAGGACACTGCTGGGACCTTGGGACCTTAATCTCTCTCTCTCTCTGTAGCACCAAGGCCAAAGACAACTGCACTGGGAACCGTGAATCCATCTGAGCACACTGCTGTGTGGCAGGGAGCTGGTCACCAAATCCCTGAACCCTGCTCATTTCCAACAAAAGCCAGCAGCTGAGCCATTGTTCTGCAGGGATCCCCGGGTTTGCAGACCAGCCTGCTGCTGCCAGAGCCTCGGGGAGGGGCACACCCAGCCTGATTTGGAGCAGGAACTCAGACAAGGCCACCCACATCCGGAAGGTCCTGGTCAGCTACACGGGTGACACATCCAAGCCACACCTGCTGTCGTGTGAGGAATGTGGCATACGGGAGTCACGTGTCAATGTCCCTCTGCTGACACACATGCATCCTATGTGCATCAGGTGTATTATGTGTGCCTCATACGTGCAACCTGTGTGTGTCACCTGGGCCTCGGCATCCCTGTGACGTGCCTGCACAGTGCACAGGGCATAAGGGTTGCACTGGAAGGCCCTGATCAGGGGACCCTGGGGGTGATGGGAGCTGTTTCTCTGCCTGTTGTAGCCGATGTCTTTCCTCACCTGTCCCCTTCACTGAGCAGAGAACCACCAGTGGCCCGATGGCACTTCCCAGAGGCGTGGGGAGGCGGCTGGTCTGTGTTTCTTTAGAGCCTGAATGCCCCATGGGTCAGACGGGACCTCCTGGTGCTCCCCACTGGCCTTTTGTCCTGGCTCCTACCGAAGCCCCAGCAGTCTCTGAGTGGATGAGAACCCACACTGCCCACTGGTAACAGCATTCTCAGGAGAGAGTGAAAAGCTGCAGGGAGAGGAGATGCTCTCAGGGCGCTCACTGTTCACAGCTGCTGTTCCTGCGCCTCCCCACATGCCTCGGGTGGAGTTCGGGGGTCACAGGACACCCCAAGGAAGAAAGAAGTGAGCACCTATTGCAGTAGTGGAGCTCCAGAGGCTCAGGAAGGTGGCCTGGAGAAGTGTCACACTGGCCTCAGGGTCCTGCCCGCCCCCCTACTTGGCTGAAAGGGAGAGAAGCCCACCTAGAGACAAGGGCAGAAATGCAGGACCCTGGGGTCACGGAGTTCAGATCACCAAACTCCCGGGAGGTGCAGCAGAGAGGAGGAAAGGGGGATAGAGAGGACAGAATGGACGTGTCCCTCCCCTCGGGATTCTGCTCTTTGGGGTGCAGCTTCCGCACTGATTCACTCAGCAGAGACTTTGCCCTCCTTCTCCACCCCACAAAGAACCATCAGTCAGAGCTTCCTTGCGGGCAGAAGGACTAGAACAAACGTTCTTTTAAGACACACTCAGAATCCCTCTTCCAGCCCGTGTTCTCCCGTGAGTACCAT